ACCCACCTCCATCCTGTTTCTTCTGCCCTCCACAGACATAAGCGGCAAATGGTCTTTGTGTGGCCCCAAGTCAATTAAAAATTAAAGCTGACTTGGGGTTGGAACGTGGCTCTCTTTTTCTCTAAGCCCACGAATGCTTGTTAAAGGAAAATAAAAAAAATTCTGACTTATATCAGCAGAGCCACCTGGTATGGGACAGAGGGAGACAAAAAAAAAAGGGACTGTTCTATTGCCACTGATCTCATAATTTTTCGGCTTTCATTTGACTCTCTAATATTTTAAGGCATAAACATTATCTCAGAATCTATAAGGTTATTATGCAGAAGCTCTCTGTCGTACAGAGCGTTAACTAACTCTAGAAGTAATCTTTATGTAGCTTCCTGTACATGTTACCAGGTTTGAGGCTGAAGCAAGCAACTAGGAAAAAGATTGTATACCTCAGATGTACTTAACAGGTTATGGTCCTCAGAACTTTCCAAAACCTGCTGAAAATGGCATTTAAAAATGTTTAGGTTTCCTACTGAAAGACCCCAGCCTCACCCTAAGTTAAACATAGCTAACGCCATTTTGTGAGACACCACTGTTTTATAAAACTCTGAAGGCCAGATGAGAAACTGGAAAATTACTGAGAAATCCTAGCTGTGTCACCCACTTGGGATATCTGTGGTCAGGCTGCCCCAGTCATACTAAAAACAGTTTGTGTTAATCACTCTCATAGATATCTGTGAGACTGTTTCAGCTAAGATAGGGAAAAACAAAATAACAGGTGGCGGGCCACGTCAAGGGGTCATCCTACCCCCCTTGACCACCCAGTTCCTGGAATCTGGGTGCCCCTGCCAAACTTTGACGCAAATTGTGGTCTCGTGTAAACGTACCAATCAGCCCCCTGTAACCATGCCCTCTCGCTTCTGTACCAGTGCTTCTGCCTCTAAAACCCTATAAAAACCCCAGCTTCCCATCTAGGGGGCGCGCAAGGTTCCTCCCGAGTGACCTTGCTGCCCCGAGTACTCGTGAATCAAAATAAAAGCCTCTTGCTGTTTGCATCCGAATGGACTCGTTGTTCTTTGGGAGGGGGTCTCTCTGACGGAAGATACCCTCCGGGGATCTTTCACTACTACTCCTAAAAGTAACCTCTTAGGTTTCCAAGAAGATGAAGGAGCCCCCAAAGATGAATCCACCTGGATTGAGTAACACCAACCATTGGGGAAAACTGCTCTAGGCTTCTACTGCCTGGTTCTTCATGAACAGTGGACACCTTTGAGTTAACTGTTATGGTTCTGTCTAGTCAGGATTGCCACCAAGCTGACAACCACCGCCCAAAGATTAGCTTAGGACTACAGACTGCTTACAACATTCAAAATGCTGAGTTCATATGAGAGTAGCAAGAACATTTTACACAACTTTGAACTAAAAAATATTTAACCCTAAGACAGCCAAATACAACCAAGCTGAACATTGTAGAAAGCTTAGCAGAAAATGCTTGATTTTTGTAGTTTTACTGTATATTTCCTTTTTTAAAATTATTTATTTATTTATTATTTATACACCTGTACACCTGCACACCAGAAGAGGACACCAGATCTCACCATAGATGTTATGAGCCACCATGAGGTTGCTGGGAATTGAACTCAGGACCTCTGGAAGAGCAGCCAGTGCTCTTAACCTCTGAGCCATCTTTCCAGACCCCTGTATCTTTCCTTTTTATTTAGACAAAAAAAGGGGGATATAGAAACAACATAGGAATGATAAGGAAAAGGTAGATTATTGACTCTAGTCTTCTAGATCTTCGAATACTGATAGAAAATTAAGATTAGAAATGGTTACATTGGTATAGAGCCTTTGTGCATTGAATGAAAATTAAGGTTATTTCACACTATGTATGGAATCTTTTTAAGGTATTATACCTATGTAATTCTTAAAAACTCATTGTGAAGGGCTGGAGAGATGGCTCAGTGGTTAAGAGCACTGTTTGCTCTTCCAAAGGACCTAGGTTCAATTCCCAGCACCCACATGGCAGCTCACAACTGTCTGTAACGCCAATTCCAGGGAATCTGACACCTTCACACTAATGCACATAAAGTAAAATTAAATAATTTTTAAAGATGCAATGTGATGTTCCAGTCCTTTTGAAAGCTACTATCACAAACTGCATAAAATAATAAGAAATGCAAATTAATAGTCAATCAAACTTGTGGTGTTGTTAGGTACTAGTTTAGTTAAACAGACGTTTTCTAACTTAATCAGTCAGTATATAGCTAGAAACAAGTAATTCAGTTCATATATACTAGAGATAGATAGACGGTTTTCAAAAACTTCAGAGAGCTACATAATTTGGCATTTAAAGATGTTTTATTAGTTGGAGAAATTTTTGACAATGAGACATGTCAGCTCCTGGCAGCAGCCCCTTTTGACTTTGGAGAAGAAGATGAGCATCAAAAAATTATCTTTGGAGATGACTTCATATGTGGCAAGCTAGCTCCTGAGCAAGAAAATGCCCTTGCTTCTCCTTCAGTGGACAAACTGGGTGCAGCAAAGTCGACTCCCAAGCTTGGCAGGAGAAGACAGGCAAGTCCTTCATAATACCCGCTTCACAGAAAAGTCTCAGATGATCTGAGCCAGAAGGCTTGAGATGATGTTGCAATGTTACAGAGAAATGCTGGGTGGCGTCTAAGCAGCCAGCGGTCTCTATCATTTCTACAGTTTTAGAAGTTGCTAGCTTTGCTCTTCCTGTTTATTCATATCATATTTATCCTTCTTGAGTCACCGATGGGGTTATACTCTTACAATTAGAGCTTAAGTTGTTTAGGATTTAAGAAGATGTTTTAGGTCTTAAAAGGTTGTTTTTTGATTGGTAACGCAAGTTATGATACAAAGTGATTTAGGCGCCAAACTTTGGATTCACCAAGATAAGCTAGATAGTAGAGTGCTTTTTCCAAAATTGCAAAAAACGAATGGGCTAGGCATTATGAATGTTTGCTTTTAACCAGACAGCACTTAGTTCATTGATGTTAGAGAGAAAATCTTTTATTTAGACAAAAAGGGAGAAACCTTATAGGATATTTGATCCCATTGTGAACTGTAAAACCCTGTTTCTTGTTTGGTGTGATTGAGCCCTTTTACACACCTTTAACCCAAGAATTTTCTGCTTATGGTAAACAGGTGATTGTGGTGTGTTTCAGCCAGCCAAGAGCCCAGACCTAATAAAGTTAATCCTAGGTCAAGACACAGAGCAAGAAACCAGCTGACCAGGATTAGAGAGTAGGAGGGACTTTGAGCTGAGGGGTATTTAAGACAGGCTGTAGACTTAAAAGGGACTTTTTAGCTCTCTAGCTCTCTGGCTTTTGAGCTTTGGACTAGCAAGACTTTGGCCTTGAGTTTTTTAGCCTTTTCCTCCTGGGCTGTCAGCTGACCTAGTGAGCTTTTTGGGGATTTTTTTCTTTCTGGGACATGAGCTGGGTTCTTTTTCTGCCTCTCTGAGCTACCAGCTTTTCACCCCAGCATCTGCCTCCTGAATCTTTATTGATAAAATAGAGCGATCGGGATTTTCATTCCTTTAATAACAACGCATCTGCTCAGCACTGCAGGATGAATTGGAAGGTGGGAGCTGAGGGGCAACCACCTTACTGATAGCTAGGAGTCTAAAGGAAAGCTGTTTGGACACCATCTCCCAACAGCTATGCCTCCTCCTCTGGATGCAGAGAGGAAGAGAGGCACAGGAAGGAAGCTAAACTTGGAGGCCGGGCCCAAAAGCCTGAGGTGGGTTTGTTTCTTTCCACTAGGGTGGCTCTGAACAACTGAACGAGTAAACCAGAGTCTGGGTGAGCTGAAAGAGGACAGCCATCCTGGATGAAAGAGACACCCACTAGGATAATGGAAGCAAACTATGGATCTGGGGTTTTCTGAGCTGGAAGGGATCTTCTGTATTCAGACCCTCTGAGCACCTGTGTCTTCGTTTTCCAAAGATGCTGAAGGGATCTGCAGTTGAAAGTATACGCCCAGCCATGCACTGAGGCTGGAAGATGGCCAGCCTGGGCTCTGTAGCAAAACCCTGCTACTACTAATAATAATTAATAACAATATTAGTCTACTCTGTGCCTGGTTCATCGAAGCTCCTAAGGGTTCCCCCTCCGCCTGTGACTGCCCTCCCCACCCCCACCGCACAGCATTCCTCTTAAAGCTAGGAGGCTCTAGGTTTCAAACTGTTATCTGTGAATCTGGTTCTTGGGTTAGGTCAGGGCCTCCTTCTGCCCTCAAGCAGGAACCGGCCGTTAAAGGGCAGGAAGTGGCCCAGGAGAAGTGACAGGGCCCCAAAACCCGCTGTCAGCTGTCCACTTCTCCACCGCAGCGAATAGGCCTGCTTTCCTGGGGGAAGTACCCTTCCTCTCCGCCTTTCCAGTGGTCCTCCTGCCTACCCCCGACCCCCTGCCTTCCTCAGCCCTCTCACAGTACCCAGGCTTTGTGCGAAGTTTCCAGCCTTCCTCCAAGGCTGCCTCCCACCCTGACAGCTTGGGGCAGAAGACATCCAGTGGGGGCAGGGTACAGCTAAACACCTCTATTTATTCTGAGCCTCCCTTGGCGTTTTTGCTTTCTGAGACAGGGTCTCACTTTATAGCCCTGGCTGTCCTAGAAATCACTGTCCAGGCTGGCCTCGAACCCTCAGAGACCTACCTGTCTCTGCCACCAGGCTCACTGCCGGGCTTTCCTTGCTAAGGTCTCAGGCTCCTCCATCATCGGTTATGACATAAAATGCCCAGTTCATCAAAGACAAGAATTTTGTTGTTTCTTGAGACATGATTTCTCTGTGTATCCCTGGCTGTCCTGGAACTCACTCTGTAGACCAGGCTGGCCTTGAACTCTCAGAAATCCACCTATTTCTGTCTCTGGAGCACTGGGATTAAAAGTGCGTGCCACCACTGCCGAGGACTGTAATGGGGCCTCTAAACTGAGAGATGGGGAACTTGGGGGCACGTGACTAGCCCAAGCCGTTAAAGCCAGCAGAAGAGGGATTAGTTAAGTCTTGACCTTCGGGCCTGCTCTTCATCCCTGAACTATGCTAGATTGTGCAAAAGGTACGTAGGGGTCTCCCCTGGTCTACAAGGGGACGATGTGAGTGCTGGAGAGGGAAGGATGAAAGGCAGTGTTCATGTTTAGGAGAGGTGGTCAGAATCCCTCAGAACTAGCCAGGGCAGGTGGGATCGAGGCTTCTTCCAGAGGCAAAGAGACAATAGGATGTGGGCATGAAGTCAGGAGAGGTGGCTAGGGTGTGTGGATCTCCAGAGGAAGTGAGAATTGAAGACTGGGTAAAGAATGTGTCTTGGCTGGGCTGTAGCCCAGTGCAGTCCTTAGCAGGCATGAAGGCCTGGGTTACTGCCCTAGCTGCTCAGACTGGGCAGACCGTGGCCTCCTAGAATCCCAGTGCCAGGGAGGTGGGGCAGAAGGACAGATGTCAAGAGCTTGGACTGCCTCTGCACAGAGTTTGAGAGTGGCCAAGGCTGTAACAGACACTGAAAAAAAAGGCAGGCAGTGGTGGTACACAGCTTTAATCCCAGCACTCAGGAGCCAGGCAGATCTCAGTTTGAGGCCAGCCTGGTCTATAGATGGAGTTTCAGGACAGCCAAGGTACAGAGAAACCCTGTCTCAAGTAAAGAACAACAACAAAACCTCCCAAACCCCCAAATCTCTTAGAGTGTATTTTCCTGCACCTAAAATTGTTGGAGGATGGCGGAGGCCTGGCTTTGACCCCGGAGCCACATAGAACCACAGGTGTGGTCGTAGTACATACTGTCAGCTTAGCGCTGAGGGGTGCGGGCACCAGGGGCAGTTCAAGCATGGCTGCTGCATAGCCACTGTGAGGCCTCCAGGGATACCTGAGACTGTCAGCATAGCAGGGAAGAGACGGGGCCGGGAGAGGCAGGGGGGGGAGCAGGGAGGGCGTGAGGGTGGGTGCAGTCAGGGGTCTTTGTTATATGAACGTAATTGTCAGAAGGAGACCGTGGGTGCTGGGTGCAGGGAGAGGAAGAACTGACAGAAAAGGGGGGAAACCAGAGCAGGTGTGACGCTTACATTTAACCAGGGGTTTGGGGAAGTGAGGGGAGAAAGGCCTTCTGGCAATCATCTCTCCAGGCCATTGTCTCTACCTGCTGTATGGGAGCGTGGGGCTGGAAGGGCTCCTCCTGCTGCTCGTCATTGTCCTGTTCACCTGCCTGTGCCGGGTCCAGCAGAGAGGTAAGCCCTCACAGCCACCACAGCCTCCACACCTCTCCTGAGCTGGGTCCGGGCAGATTCTGGGAGGGAGAGAGGGAAGGAGTCTCCCAAAGGCCCAGGCTTTGGGCGTGGCTCCCATGGCAGTCAGCAAGTGAGCATGGGGAACCAGTGGGTTGTGGAAGGCTGGGCTGGTGGGCTGGTGGGCTGGGGAATGGTGTGTGTGTTCTGGAGCTGGGGACCTGGGGTGGGGTGCTCTTCTGGGATGGGAAATCCATGTGGATGAGACAGTTTGGGGTGCCATTCTGGTGTGTGTGGGGGTGCTGGGTGGTCATGCTGAGTCACTTCTTGTTTTCTTCTAGTGAAGAGACTGGAAAGGAACAAGGTGAGTCTGGGGGTGAGGGGGAACCCAAGTGGGGAGCGGAGTGAAGAGGGAGGTAGGAGGGGGGAAGAGAAGCAAGACAATGGGACAGAGGGGATGGATGGTGTTTATCAGAACATAAAACAACTCCAGGGAAAGGACGGAGAGAGAGGAAGCAGTGAGAGAGGAGTTCCGGGACAATCAGGACTCCATAGAGAGGCCCTAGCTCAAGAGAATGACAGCAAAAACAAGGAGAGGGAAGTGGTGTGCGTGGCCAGCAGCACGGCTGTCAGCAGTCTTGAGGGTGTGTGGAACCCTGAGCTCGGTTCCCAGAACAGCACACAGCCAGGGCGGTTCACAGCTGAAATCCCAGGCAGAGGCAGGGAGGTCATGTCAAGGTGAAGGCTAGCCTTAGCTACATGAGACCCTGTCTCAAAGGAGGGGGTTCTGAGAAAGCGTTTTCTGGTGCCTTGTGCTTGGATCCGGGGCTCAGTGGGGGTTGAGGCAGGCAGGATGTGGGGGCCAGGCCAGCCAGCCTAGTAGAAATAGCAACTCCAGTTTTAGGGAGAGACTCTGTCTCATCATCATCATCATCATCATCATCATCATCATCATCATCATCATAATAATAATAATAATAATAATAATAAAATAGATGCTGTCCAAGCCTCACCTTCCGGACTACATACGCAAGCTCAGACAGTCACACTTACGCCATATATAGAAAGAAAGAAAAACAGAAAGAAAGAGACGGGGGGGGGGGGAGCACAATAGAGAGTAAGAGTCAAAGAGCAACATTCGGCGAGAGAAAAGGAACGCTTGCATGAACGACAGGAGCTTCAGAAACAAAAGGAGACAGAAAAGTAGTGAGGAAAGGCGGGGGCTGGGGCGGGGAAGGGCGGAGGGCGGCGCCCCGGCCTCAGCACAGTCCCGCCCCGCCAGGCCCAGATGTCGGGGCAGGAGCTCCACTACGCGTCTCTGCAGAGGCTGCCGGTGTCCAGCGGTGACCTCACCGACAGAGAGGAGGGCGAGGGCCTGAAGGACGACCCCAGCACCGACTACGCCTGCATCGCCAAGAACAAGCCCACCTGAGCCCCGATGCCCCCCGGCCCTGGGCGGGTGGTCGGAGCCGCCCCGAGTTCCCCCAGTAAAGACTGTGGCTCCCGCCTCCGCGTCGGCTTCTCTGTGCGTCCAGCCCCGGCCCACCCAGCCGCCAGGCGGGCAGGGCCTCTGGGAGCCGCTGGGCAGCTGCGGCCTCCAGGGAGCCCGGGTCGGCTCCGACAGGCTTCTCAGTAAGCGCTGAGGCCACCGGGACTGCGCTGGGCCGCGCCGAGCCTGTCCCTCGCGGAGGGACCGCACAGAGCGCAGTGGGGGAGGAGCAGGAGGGAGGAGCCAGCTAAGGATTTAGCCACTGCTGCGCTCTTGGGCGCGCTGGAGGCCGCAGACCCCGGTGCTGGGGAGGAGGGGGCGCGTTTTCCCGCGTGGCAAGGGCCTGGGGAGAAACAGCAGGGGCTGCTCAGAGGGTGAGGCTGTCCTCCCGCAGTCTGTCCCCCATCACGCCGCTGCTCTGACACTCACATCCGCGGCCACAGAGAGAGCCGAGGCGTGGAGGGCCGCCCGCCCTCGGGAGGATGCTCGCATGGGCTGCTCCCCTGGGTCGGGGGCTGGCCTAGGCGCTGCAGCAGGACGCAGGGAAGGGTCGGGAGCTCAGCGCTGGGGACAGCCCCTAACTTCCAGGACCACTGTGGCCTGGGGTGGCACCCCCTCACCTTCCTCCAGCAGTGGCTCGTCCCGCCGCCACGCCCAGGCCCCCCCCCCACGCCCAGGCCCCGAACCCCCACCCTGCACACTAGACCGGTGTCTCGGCTCTGGGTGTCGTGGGGAGCAGCTCTGCCCTGCGGTCCCTGGTGACCTGGGAGGCACAAACAGGGAGGCCACGCGGCCCCGGAACTTCGGCGTCTCCCTGCTCATCGCCATCCTCGGGGCCACTTTATCTTGGTACCGTGTGACAGAGCCAATGGCCGTCTTCCCTCGGCTGGCATTGAAGGAGCAGGGCAGGAGGGCAGTGGCGCCCTCCTGGGCACGAATCTCAGGGGGCTGAGACACCCAGAGAACGCAGGACCCTGGGAAGAAAGCAAATACCCAGACACCACCCGGCCAGTTATTCCGAAAAGAAAAGCGTTTGGAGGATAGTGCAGCTTCCCTTCCTCCCCAGCCAGGGGAGGTCAAGGCAAAGGCCCCGGGTGCCTCGCTCAGCCCTTTCCTCTTCGCTAGTTTAGTTTCTTCGTTTTCTAATCCTTTCACCTGCCGTCCCTGGCCCCGTACAGCCATCCCCTCTAGAGACCTGCTCTGCCGCGCTCCTGTCCCTCCAGTACCTGGGAGCGGGTGAAGGAGGAGTGGCCGGTCAGGGAGGCCACCCTCCCGCGCTCCAGGCTTTCTGCTGTGGCGGGAGCTGCTTTTGCCTTGTGTTAGGGAGGGTTGTTCGGTTTTGATTTTTATCTTGCCGTATTAGGGCTTTAACCTGGACCTCACAAATGCTAGGCACTCTAGCCGAACCACCTCTCCAGCTTCCGGTACAGTTAGACCTGGGCGCCATTCTACAACAAACCATTGTCCACACTGTATTTTCCTCAATTAAGAAAGTATTTTACTACACATATGTGGGTGTTTTTACCCGCACACTAGGCCTGGGCGCTGTAACTACTGAGCCACCCCTCCATTCCCCACCTTTTTGGTGTTCAAGTCTGCCTTGTGCTCATCGCATAGCTGAGATGACCTGGAATTTCTGATTCTCTGAAGGCTGGATACAGGCACGCGCCCTGGTTCCCAGGTTGTGCAGGCCTGGGATCAGGTCCAGGGCTGTGTGTATGGCGGGCAAACACCCCACCACTGATCCACCCCGAACCCAACTCTTCTTAACCCCGACCTTCACCGTGTAGCACAGGCTGGCCAGGAACCTCTGGAATTACTAGTGTCGTTCATTAGCAGCGTGAATTCCCAGGTGACGACACAGCTAGAGTTGGCTGAGAGCCACCGTGTCCACACGGATGAGCTAAACCGATCGTTTCAAATCTGTGGTTCACCTTTTCTAAGCCAGGTACATTTGCTGGTCATACAAACGCAGTGGTCCTCAAACTAGAGAACACTTTGAAATTATCTCGAAAACTGTTTGAGAGAGGATCCCAGGATGGAGGCCTGAGCTCACTATCCAAGCTGGCATCAACTCACAGGAGTCCACCTGCCTCTGGGATTACGGGCGCCTTGCACCAACACCACCTGGCTTGCTTTCCTTTCTTCTTCTTCTTTTCTATTACTTTTCAAATTACATTTTTATTTTTATATTAATTACAGTTTATTCACTTTGTATCCCAGCTGTAGCCCCCTCCCTCATTCCCTCCCAATCCCATCCTCCCTCTCTCATCTCCTCCCTGGCCCTCTCTAAGTCCACTGATAGGGGAGGTCCTCCTCCCCTTCCATCGGACCCTAGTTTTTATCAGGTCTCATCAAGGCTGGCTGCAATGTCCTCCTCTGTGGCCTAGCAAGGCTGCTCCTCCCTCGGGGAGGGTAGAGGTCAAAGAGGCTGCCACTGAGTTCATGTCAGAGACAGCCCCTTCCTTTCTTCTTAAGATTAGGGTCTTGCTGTGGTGTCAGTGCCGGCATGATCCCCAGTACCGACATGGTGGCTCACAGTCATCTATAACTCTAGAACTTTTCAGAACTTTTAGGGCACCAGGCATACATGTAATACATAGACACAAATGTAGGCAAAATACTCATGCACATAAAATAAACTAAAATAAAAAATTATAGTAGCAGGCCAGGCATGGTGGCTTGTGCCTTCAGTCCCAGCACTCAGAATGAAGAGGCAGGAGGATCTCTGTGAGCTTGAGGCCAGCCTGGTCTACATAGCAAGTTCCAAGACAGCCAGGGCTACACAGAGAGACCCTGTCTCAAACTACACTCCCCCAAAATCATAGTGGCTCTGTGTGGATGCTTACACCTATAATCCCAGGACTTGGGAGATGGAGGCAGGAGGATCAGAAGTTCAAGGTCATCCTGGGCTACACACTGATTTAATTTTCCGAGACTTTATTTTTTAATTTAACAATATTTATTTTTATGTGTATGGGTGTCGAACCTAAATGTTTGCCTGTGCACCACATACCTGCTTGGTGCCTGTGGAGGCCAGAAGGTGGCATCAGGTCCCCAGACCTGGAGCTACATGGTTGCTAGCCACCACCTGGGTGCTGAGAGCTGAGCCTGGCTCTATGGGAGAGCAGCTGAAAAGGGAACTTCCAGCTCTCTCTCTGCAATGCCCCCAAGTGGCTTCCCTTCCCTCTTTCTTCTCCTGAGAGTTGGGCGTATCCTATTGTCAAATCTTCTCTGACTGTCGCTTTCTTTTCCTGCCTCTCAGTTAGGCATCACTTCCAAAAATGGCTGTTTTCTGCTGCAGGCGTCACCTTCATTGTTTGGGAACAAAGGTGTGTACCACCACTTAAGCTTTTCTTTACCTGAAACTTGCTCGGTACCAGGCTGGCCTTGAGCTCAGATCTGCTTGCCTCTGCCTCCTAGATTAAAGGTGTGTTTGTATTCCAGCCAGATCACACAGACCTGGAAGGTCTTTGGATGTGATCTCTTGCCAGAGCAGCCGTGATCTAAATTAAAATTCCCGTACAAGCAGCCAGTGCTTTTAACTGTGGAATGATCTTTCTTTTGATACCCTATGTGCTAATTTTAAAAGTAGTCTGGGCTTTTTGAGATCCCGTCTCTCGGATAAACAATTAAAAAAATAACTGTGAGCATAATATGATGATATAAGCCTATAAGTTCCTGGCAGCACCCGGCCATGCCCCTGGCTGGCGACGGCACAGATGGGGTGCCTGGGGCGCTCTTAGCAGGGACAGGCCGTATGCTAAGACAGGATGTTTGGCCCGAACGGGTGGGTCACCCAGAGCAGACCCCCAGGAGCCCTCCCCGAGACGCTGGGCTACTTCCCCTCTTCGGTGTGTCCAGCCCAGCCTGGCTCTCCCTCTGGGGCTGCCCTATTAACGGGGCAGCCAAGGAGCGAGCTGGTGGTGGGTGTGAGGTTACCCAGGACAGTGTCCAGAAGCTCCACCACGAGCAGGGGTGAGACCTCTTCTCCCAGCAGCGTTGCCAGGGGAGTATAGCTATTCACGGATGCGTTGGGATTCGTCTCCTGGGAAGGAGCGTCCTGCAGAAGCCTGCTTGACTGTGCCCCCTGCTGCCCTAGCGCCCGGAAACCCCTCCAATGTTACTTCACCCACCGGTTAATCACCTTTGCTTGTTTGTTCTGGTTTCTGAAGTCAGGGATTCTCTGTGTAGCAGGCCTGTCTGTCCTGGAACTCGCTGTGTAGACCAGGCTGGCTTTGAACTCACAGGGATCCGCCTGTCTCTGCCTCTCAAGCGCTAGGACTAAAGGCGTGTGCCACCTTGCCTGTCCACTTAAACACATTTATTGGGAACTACAGAATGACCTGTCTTCCACGGGCACAAGGCCGCACGGGTGCCAGCACACGCCGGCGCGTGCCTCACAGACCCGGGAGGGGACCGAGCCCCTGGAGGAGAGGCCTGCGAGGGGGCTGCTGTGCAGACCACGGACCAACCCCACCACTCACGCTGCGGCTGTTATTTCCTTAAAGATTCTATGTTCATTTGTGTGTCCACTCAGGAGTGTGTTACAGCACTCGTGTGTACGCGTCAGAAGACAGCCCGTGGGAGTGTGACGCGGGTCCCAAGGACAGAAGGCAGGTCACTGATCTCGGTAGCAAGCCCCTTCATCCACTAAGCAAGCTCCTCCTCCTCCTCCGCC